GTGTGTGTGTGTGTGTGTGTGTGTGTGTGTGTGTGTGTGTGTGTGTGTGTAGTGTTGTGGGAACGGTCTCTCTTTTTGTTTTGTTTTGGGGTTTTTTTGAGTTGGAGTCTCACTCTGTCGCCCAGACTGGAGTGCAGTGACCGATCCGGCCACCGCAGCCTCGACCTGCCGGGCTCAGGCGATCCTTCTGCCTCAGCCTGCCAAGCAGCTGGAACTACAGGCGCACACTACTACATCCGGCCGATTTTTTGATTTATTGTAGAGGTGAGGTCTCTTCAAGTTGCCCAGGTGGGTCTTGAACCTGCGGGCTCAGGCAATCCACTCACCTCAGCCTCCCAAGGCGCGGGATTACAGGCTGAGCCACCGAGCCCGGCTTGGTCTCTCTTTTTGAATCCCTGTTCCGTGGTATGAGGCAGCAGTGTCTTGGGTCAGCGTGTGCCCTCTCCAGACTCAAGCTATCCCTTCAGTGAGCAGTTCCAAGGCTCGCTGGGCACCTTTTGTGGATGGCAAGTACTTAGAAGGCAACTCATCCATCTTGATTTCTCATCAGCCTTATGCTTTCGTCTTACTTTTCAGCTGATTTAGAATTTAGAGTGTGTGTGTGGGGGGGGGTTATTTATTGAATCCCTTCAAATTCCCAACATCACCCAGACAACCAACTAAGAGAGTTGTGACAGGTTTGAACAGGTCATAAATCCAGACCTTCGGCCCCACTCCCTAACACTTCCCGGGGATACTTTCCGCAGCCTCATTTCACCTTTGAGCAATGGAGTTGTATCCAAAGCTCAGACTGAAGCCCAGATCTTAATCAGATTCTTCCACCAAATTATTTAAAGGTTCCTTATCTGTGTGCACCTACCGCAAAATGAAGAAAACAGAGAAAAATATCACTTATCCTTTTTTTGCCCCTTTGCTATGCATCTCATTGGGCAAGATAGAATTTTGCCGTATCCATTTTCTTTTCCAAGAGGCAAAATCTTCAAATCCTCCTGTTGCCATTTTACCTTTCCTGTGGCTAGCTTCCCATTTAGAAAGAAACCAGAACTTAAAATCCCTATTAACACTCAACAAAACTTTCCAAAGTCCTCTGACTTTTGTTTCTTACCTTCTCCTGGATCTCTTCATCATCACCAGCAAAGTACAAAATAGGGACATTGAGCTCAGAGGCAGCCACCCATTGAAGGACGGCTTGGAGTTGCTTGTCTGGACTTGTGTCCATGAGTTTGTGATTGCTGACAATGATCTTGGGTGCTGGACACTCTTCAGGGGACTGTCTTGAGGCACCTCTCAGTTCACTATGGATAGCCTGATAGGCATTCTGCAGGATGGCTTCTGCTGTCTCTGTCCCCTTGACTGCTAAACAATCATACAAATTATCTGGGAAGGCTGTTGTGGGCCCACCGGCATCTCCAGAGTTCTCGTCTCCCAGCTCTGTCAAGTGGGAGTCACAGGACTTGGCAATGATGAGACACAGCTTCATCACTGAATCCATCAGATGTTCTACCATCTTCCCATCCATGTCGCCATCTGGCTGGTTGACTATCATCTTGGTCATCCCAGAAAGGGGACCACCAGCCTCATCACATTCACATGGGCTGGCAGAAGAAGGGGTCATAGTTCTTTCACACCGGTGCCTATCTTCTTCCCTGACTGGCTCTTCCGGCACCTTGGGTTCAGGGCTGTGGCCACTCTTGAAAATTGTCTCACTAAGTAAGTTCCGTATAAAATTGAAGAAAACACTCATTAGAGTCTTCTTTTCTGCTTGTTCTTGGTTGACGCAGGACTTATTGGAAACTTCAGGGGGCTTGTTGGTAGAAAAGTTGGTGGTGCTAGCGGCTTCAAGGAAGCTCCCTGCATCCATTCTTCCTCCCAGGGCCAGGTGGTGTTGAATCAGAAGTAGGGCAGATACAATCAGGTCCTTGGCCCAGGACTTTGAATCACACATCAAATCCTCAGGTTCCTCTGGGTGACACAGAGGAGGGCTGAGGTCACAAGCATCATGAGAATACCCCAAGGGAATGTCAGGTGCAGACATATACTGTTTGTTGGGAGCACCACTTGCTGCCCGCTGCAAACCTGGAGATTTACATTTGTTCTGTTGACTGTCATGCCAGAGGGACAGCCCCTCCTTGATGATGTGTTCACTCAGAGTTTCGGCACAAGTCTTCTCCTTCGCTGGTTTGGATGCCGGATATACCTTTTCTCTCAATTCGTCTACCGATTTCATTGCAAAGTTCACATTTCGGTTTTTGGGGTCACCCTTTCCTTTCGTGGAGAAAAGGGAAAAACTCTCAGACCTGTCCTCAGTTTTTCTGATAATCTCAGGCACCTTCTTGGCGAACATCACATCGTATAGCTTACTCAGCATGGCGTTCATGATGTCAGAGGACTTTTGGCTTCCATGAGAGAAGACATTTCTTTTCACCGCCGAGACAAAGTCTTCATCAGTCATGAGGGTCCCTGTGGCACTGTGGAGGTTCTTCATGAAGGAGTCAATGAGATCGGAGACCACCTCTTTCGTATGCTTGAGCAGAACCTTCTTCAACACGATGGTGATGATGGTTGTGTCTTTGACTTGGATCCTCAGTGTCCTCATGATGGAAGCCATCATATCAGACACCACGCTGTTGGCATACATCATGATCCCATCACTGACAGGAGCTGTAAAGTCGTCAGGCCTTTCCTGCCCTCGAAATAGCCTTCTTCCACCCTCCCTGGTATCACCCGCATTGCGAGATTCTAGCACCTCCTTAAAGAAGAAAGACTTCCTGGAAGGGCCCTGGCTGCCCTTGTTGCTCTCCTTGATCTTCACAGTGGACTTGTATTTCAAATTACGGAGACTCTGTAATGACCCGGAGGCTCTGTCTCCAGAGCGTGGAGCCTTGTCTGGGACAGCATTCCCGGCACACGCAGAGACGGTCTCATTCACCAGCTCTGATGCCATGTTACTCAGGGATTTGTTGGGAGGGGGTTCATCTCCCACATACAATGACTGATGGATACATTTGTTTCCAGAACCATCGATTGTCTCATTAATCTCCTTGCGGGCCATAGCTATGACTAGATTTGTGAGGCGATTAGCATAGAAGGAAACTTCATCTACTGAACTCTTGTTACCAATTTGGGCCCTGGGGCCCTGGCAGGGATTCTCTTTGTGGGAGATCTTAAAATGCAATCTCCCTGGACTGCCCTTGGTGGTGGTGTTGTAATAGTCCACAGAGAAAGCTTTGGAGGGGTCTTCTGCGTTGGTCGTCTCCCCAGGGGATGATTCTCTGGGCTGGAACCTGACGTCTTGGAACCCTGCTGTACTTTTCTCTAGGTCTCTGCGGAGCCAGCTGAGCACTCTGACAGGATCCGTTGAGGCATCCTTCAAAATAAAGAAAGATTCATCTGACCACAGCAAAGTAAAGACAGGTGATTTTCAGAACGACCTCACAGGTTAGTTAAAAGTGTCATGCCTCTCAAGCTTGCTCCATCTTTGCAGTAAATGTAAACAACATGTATCGAGTGCTTACTATGTATTGGGCACTGTTCCAGTTATTGTAAGGCTATAATCTCATTTAATATTGTTATAATGAACCTAAATGTTAGCTCTGTTATTATCCTTATTTTACTGAGGAGGAAATCGAATAACTGAAAGTTTAAGTGAGCTATACATTTGAAATAATATAGCGAATTCCAACAGCAGTATGAGGGGTGACCTCCCCAAATAGGAATGTATAAAAGATTGTGTATTAGTCTTATATGTTTAAACTTCATTCTCCTTGAAAGCACTCTGTTTGACACAATACACCTATTGAGATGCTTTTTCCACTGTTCAAAACAGTTTTTGAACTCATCAATTATGATGCCTTTTAGTCCGTCCGCCATTTTTTGTTTCATCTCTTCCACATCAGCAAAATGTTTCCCTCTGAGGACTTTTTTCATCCAGGGAAGGAAAGTTGCTCAGGGCGAGATCAGGCGTATGGGGAGGGTGGAGCTCGGGGGTCATGCTGTTTTTGGTCAAAAATTGCTGAACACTCAGGGCGGTGTAGGCAGGTGCGCTTGTATTGTAAATCACCCATCACAAAATGGGCAAACTCATTGAAAGAATCTGCAGAAGAAATTGACCTAAACCAAAGGCAGCCTCTCGCAACAACGCTAGCTGGTACACCGATGCCCATGGCTTCCCAGAACACTTACCTAGAGGGGGAAACCCGACAAAAGGCCCACCCTCCAAAAAAAAATTCCAGGTGATTTTTTTGGTCCCCCCTCAAACAGTTAATACCACTAGTACCGCTAATGGCACAATACAGCTAATCTCAACAGTATTACAGCAGAAATTTCAACTCTGATAGTCTGGCCCCAGATCCTGTGCTCTCAGGTACTACATTTTATTGCTTCTAACAACTATCCTTCAAATCTGATAGTCATCAGCTACACAGAAGAGATAGCATTTGACCTGAATTAGTAGATTTTTTTTCTTACATTGATTATTAGTTGCTATTGTCTGTGGTTTACCTGTTTTTATGTAGGCCTCTTATTACAAGTAGTTTTCTATAAAACTAAGAAAATTCAAGGACAATTATGCATAATTAATCCTTCTGTCAGGCTACACAAACACAATTTTTTTTTTGAGTTGGGGGTCTCACTCTCTCACCCAGCCTGGAGTGCAATGGCATGCTCACGGCCAACGCAGCCTCGATCTGTTGGGCTCAGGTGATCCTTCCACCTCAGCCTTCCAAGCTGGAGCCATAGGCCTGTGCTACTATACCTGGCTAATTTTTTTTTTTAATTTATTGTAGAGACAAGGTCTCGATATGTTGCCCAGGCTGGTCTCCAATATCTGAGCTCAGGCAATCCTCTTGCCTTGGCCTCCCAAACAAACACAATCTTGGTATGTCAAACGGCTTCCAAAGGACTAACTGACATCACTTGCGTTCACAATCTGATTTATAATTGAAGAGTTAATATCTATGGGTAGTTTGTTAATTTTATGTGAATACAGATTCTTCGATCAATCCTTGGATCACCAGCTTTGATAAACACATGCACATATTTATATATTTACATACTGTACCATCATCTATAAGTGGGAAAAACTCTTTTCACTTGGACATAGAACAAAATAGGATAGTGTATATCAAAGTGTCCTACTTACTACCAAATATAAGGCATCACTGTAGTTACTGGAGTGAATATGCCTCTCTGTAAATGACCACGAATATTGCCCATCCTTAAAGTATAATTTGGTATTTTTATTGTCAAGCATTATACAGTGAACAGCTACTATTTGTTAAATACTTGTAATGTTTGCCAAGAACTAAAAGCTAAATGCTTTACACACATTAGTTTTATCTTCATACTCAGCCTATAAGGTAGGTTTTACTCTTTCAGTTTCATAGATAAGAAAACAGAGGCTTAGAGAAGTCAAACAGCTTGGCTAGCTTCTCACAGCTGGTCCATGGCTGTTATTCAAATCCAGTTCTGACTCTAAAACCAGGGCACTCCACCCCTCTAGCACCCTGCTGAGTTTTGATGACTGGGAAAGAAGAGAAAAGCAATTGTACTAGTCTTCTGCAGGACTGGTTTAGGCTGCTTGGACCATGTTGGGTTAAGGACCACAATCCTTGTTTCAAAATCCTCCCAAATGGTTCTCCTAATTTGAATAGTAGCTACTACAGGGAATATCTTGTATTGCAGTGAAAAATTTATATGTCATCTATATCATACCCTTCCACATTATTCGATTCTCATTTTCTTAGAGTTATTTTACAACTCGAAACTGTAGGTAACTGGTAGCAGTGCAACATAATTCTTGTCTACAGACGTTTAAGGAGACTTCCTCTCCTGCTGTGGAGAAGGTTGGCTTTGCCTGCATGTGCACATGCATGTCAATACTTCTGATCTATTTGTGACCTTTGAACCTCACACCTAGTTTACCTGGGAGGTAAACTGCATCTTGAGAGAGGTGTACCAGGTGCAAAGAGTTTTCTTGGTTCCCAGAGTGGCAAGAGAACTTTGTAGACATTTTGTTTTTCCAGTTTTATTTTTCCTCTCTACTAATTTTGTTTTGGTTGTTTAGGGCCAATAATCATTGGTGGCAGCAATGACTGGAAGTTTGATTTTACTGTCTGCCCATTTGGTGACATCTTTAGTAGATTAATGGATTATAGAGCTCTATTGTCTGTTGGGTGAAGGACAGCAGAATACTTGTTTTGCTAGTATTTTTCGTCCATCTTGGACAATTCAGAATTTTGTGCCCACGTGAAAGAAGAACTCTTTGATAAATGAGTTTTATGCTTCTTTCTCTACTTTTGACACATGGCTGAAAGTTTAGTACTGAAGCTTTAAACTGTCTCTATCAGTGTCTGTGTCATTGTGTCTGTACTTCAGAAAAGCCTTAGTTGTAAGTAGTAATGTCTTTCTCCAGATGGTATTATTAAGTTACATGTAAAGTCTCTTCAATTAAAGGATCTCTATTCCAATTGACTTATACATGCATATAAAAAATGCTTATGTAAATTGAATAATCTTGAGATCCCCACAAGATAAGGAAATCGAATTTCTAATACATAAAGTATTAGAAGGGAATGCTAGTGAAAAAGTATAGTACTTTTTAAATAGACTAACTCAGAAACATTTCAGGAACACAAGTTCACATAAATTAGGTAAATGATACTAGTTTAGTAATTTTGGTTCAATAAATAACAACTGTGTTTTTTCTGATTTGTCACTGTTAAGTATATTAAAGTGTACATTTTAGTTTTACTTTGATATGCTCTTCATAAACTTATACAGGTTATAAAGATACAATAAGCTAGTATTACTTCTACTTAATGTTGAAGATTATGAAAAATGTAAATTTGTGTTTAACTAAGTTGAAAAACTATTCCTAAAAACTTTATTTCAACAGTTATTATATTTTATGGTATGCCAGCTTGATGATAAATTTCCAACATCTTTATGTAACTTAAAATACTGAAGTGCTATTAAATTGAGTTAGAAAATCTATATTCTCTGAATACATATCTAAGTATAATTAGATGTGATTCATTCAGTCATGTCTAAGTAAGAGAGAATACTGAAGCATTGATGGCTAAGCATAAAGTTTACAGGCTTTTGCTTCTTATTTTTATTATAGAGTGCCTATGTCTTTGAGTCTGTTAATAAATATTCTCCTTTTTGCCACTTAGAGAGGTCATATCCGGAATGTATGTGGCTGTTGGAAGTTGTCTCCATATGTGTTCATGAATTCTGTGTATCTGTGTAGCTGGTGTGTGATAGTTTACAATCACACACTCCCCCTCTAGGTTTTCATTGTGAAATAGAAAGTACTTTGGTTAAAAGTTATGATTAATATTAGTGGTTGGGACTATAACCTGGAACAATATTTTCAGAGACATCAATTGTGTACCAGCTGTTTTTCTAGGAACTGCAGGTAAAACCTGTTGGTGAGAGCCCCTTGGGCTTGACTTCCTAATCACACAATAGCCAATTAAGAAAGGTCTTTAAAAATCGAATCTGACATTCCTTATGAAAACTTTCAGGAAAGCAAACTTAACAAGGCCTATCAAGCTCCTATGTAAATAATCAGGCCAAATCTGATGACACCAACCTCATTTTGTGATCAAGAATAATCTTGATCATAGGGAAAAATATTGGGCTCAGCAGAAAATTAAGCATTGTCTACAGTTTATAACCTACAGTCTATAGAGTAAGTGTTGTCTATGCCCTTCCACATTACTTGATTCTAAGTCTGTGGGAGCTCTTTTACAACTCTGTAAGCTGTAGATCATTAAGAGCAATGCAAAATAATTCTTGTCTATCAACATGTAAATTTTGGCCATGGGAGTTCAGCTGGCCTGTCTTCTCCACTGTGAAACAGGCCAGTTTTGCCTCCATTTGCACATTCTTCCTTTTTTTTTTTTTTTTTGAGTTGGAGTCTCACTCTGTCACCCAGACTGGAGTGCAGTGGCCGCTTCCGGCCACCGCAGCCTCGACCTGCTGGGCTGCGGCGATCCTTCTGCCTCAGCCTTCCGAGTAGCCGGAATTACAGGCATGTGCTACCACGCCCGGCTGATTTTTTGATTTATTGTAGAGATGAGGTCTCGCTGCCCAGGTGGGTCTCGAACCCGCGAGCTCAGGCAATCCACTCACCCCAGCCTCCCAAAGGCGTGGGATTACAAACTGAGCCACCGAGCCCGGCTTGCACATTCTTTCATATTCCTGGTCTTCAAGTGCATCTTTATTCTCCTTTAAGTTGGTTGTAATACCTCACCAATTTCCTCATTAATGAGTTAAACAAAATCCTTAACGTTCATTTTTCAATCTATATGGGAATTTTGATTTTACCCTTTTTTGAAAATAATCGTTGAATACCCCCTA